CTAACTATAAGACATGTTTTGACTAATATGTGAGCCAAATGTTTATGAACAATTCAGTAGCTATGTGTGCAAAATGAAAATTGTATGAAAAATAAATGGTGTTACACAAGCCTGTATTATATGGAAAATGACCTTATAATAAAAACCTTTAATCTTCTATAATACTATAACACAGTATTTTTCAAATATGATTACATATAGCTGTATACTTGCGTCTCATGAAAACGTTTGCTCCCAAAAAGACAAAAAATATGACAGCAGACGAAATTGCTCCTTGGCTGCTTACAGGCAGCCAGAAACCCAGGACAAAATGTATATTTTGCCTACAGAAACATACATGCAATACAATACAAACATACAATAGTGCATTTTCTCATGGAAAAAATGGCCATGAAGTAAATAAAGCTCATCTGTCATGGGCGGAGCGCTGGCTCTGTGGCTAAGGACCTGCGCCTGTGGCTGGAAGGTTGCCGGTTCAAATCCTGCGGCCGGCAGAGGAATCCTACTCCGTTGGGCCCCTGAGCAAAGCCCTTAACCCCAACTGCTCCAGGGGTGCCGTATAAATGGCTGACCCTGCGCTCTTACCCCAAGCTTCTCTCCCTGTTTATGTGTCTGTGTCTCTAATGGAGAGCAAGCTGGGGTATGCGAAAAGATAATTCCTAATGCATTAAATTGTAAAGGGTTAATAAAGTGATAAGTAAATCTGAAAGTGGATCAAATATTCTGTTCTGCCCTGCCAAATTAGATCTCAACCAAATCCATTTGAAACTTTTTAATTCTTAAACTTAGGTCCTGCCAGGAAGATAATCAGAGAAACGTCCAGCATTGAATCTCTACCAGCAATTTCTGTACCGTCATTTACACATTAGATTTTATAAAGACAAAAAAGATCCATAAAAGTCTTCTTAAATATGGTGATTCTTTGTGCATGACAAATATATTCTTCATCGCCCCATCAAAATAATGTTGCCTGGAGTGCAATTCCTGTGTGCTGTCTCACTAACTGCTCAGCAGCTTCCTGCCGGCACCTCTGGCTTGACAGTTTTACAGAAACATAAAAATCAGTCTTTAAGGTTTCTGCCACAAAAACAAAGGGGATCTAGGATTGTGATTCCCAATGGGAGGACTATAATTTTAAGCATTTGTCACGTTTCTCAGATTTCAGACAAACCTGTCATTCCCCCCCCTGAGTTCTTCCCCTGTGATATGTAAACTTCAGTGCACGTCCAGATCTCGTCGTTTATTGTACTTGACCAGAAAACTACTCCCAAGAATAATGATTTTCAGAGCAGCACTTGATAGATAATACTTTATGCCTATACTTGCCTAGTTTCAAAACTTTTAAAATGTTAAAAGTTCTTTGTGCACGTACGAGGACAAACTGCAAATATTACTTTTGGAAAGATGAAGAGAAGGTGTGATTTTAAATTAGAAGCTCACTAGACAGTTGAAAACCCACAACCAAAATTGACTGAAAATTGTTTTCATATGTGACTATAGAGTAATGCTCAGTTTTGGACTAAACACATGGATATTAGGTTCACGCAGTGTTTATGAATATAATACAGGATGTGCCTATAGTTAAAAAAATTCAATGTTCCAATGGCCCGAGTACTGCCTGAACAGGAATACTCAAAGTCACCAGTAGCTGCGTTTTACATTTCAAAACAATAACTTCTGTGAATGAACAATAAGCAAAATGGGATGTTTGATATTTATAGGGCTGTTACTTTGTTTCCCTTGGTTCAACACTCCGGTGAGATAGGTTGGACATCAGGTAATGCTGTAAAATAGTTTACATAAATTTAGATATAACCCACCATCTGACAGCTCCATGATACTGACAGAGTGTTATTGGAACCGCCCTGATATAAATTCATTTTAAAAGGTGCACCAGTGGGTTCAGCCTAGCTATAAGCAGAAGAGATTATTTTTACATAGATAGTATGAACTAGGAAATAGTCACAGTACCTTTGAAAACTTGATTCAAAGTAGTCCTCCTCCAGCAGCTTCATGTGATTGAGTGATTTTGTTTTCAGCATGTTCATATGGTAGAAGACATCTAAAGGGGAAAGGCAACACTCAAGCAATGGCCGTGTATCACTCAGCAGGTTGTTGCTGCTTGTTGTGTTATTGCTTTTCTTCAGTGCTTTAGTGATCGCCAAAATGAAAAACAGAGAAACAAATTGAATCATGTTCATGGTTGCTTTATTGTGTTTTGTGTACCACAAGGCGGCTAAGCTTTTTATAGGATCTTGTTTTTTTATCTTTTTAACAGCATAAAAGGAGGTACAAGGTTAGTCTAATGGAAATGTGTGGAAGCAGCAAATGCACAACACTGTGACCTTTTGGAATAATTCCAAAAACATTTAGCACCGGCTATATTGCTTGTTCATCTTTTATGTAATCAGAATTATATTTCAGTTTTGGGAGAAAAAGGTATTTGGAGTCAACACAGCACTGCAATATATGAAGGGCAAATGTTGAAAAGCAAATACATTTCTGTTCTTCACTTTTTCTCTAAAAAGATTCCAAAGACATTTTCCCTGTTCCTGTTAGTATTACTTTGAATACAGTGTTATCAAAATATTTAGGTATCTTTCTTGTACAGTAATCTTGTATTTACCAAGTCCAAATACCAAATGTCCTTTTTCTAGCCACGTTCCGAATACAATAAAATGAAACAATTGTGAAGCAGCGTAAAGGAATGGGAGCTCACACACAAAAACGGGGAAAAGCTGGCTAGTCACACAAGCTTGAAGATGAGAAAGTATCAGACTGATACTGTAGTAGGCTACAATTTTTAAGTGACTTTTCAGTCCATTTATCTTTTCAGAGTGCACTTGGCCTACGGGTGCTAAGGGCTTTCTAGAGAGTTCAGGTGGACAAAAATTCATATCTTCAGATATGGAAGCATTTGGTTGTGAATCAGCTTGTTGGTTAGGATTAATCCTTCTGTTCATGGAAGAGACCCGTAGAAAACAGCAAAGATAAAGTCTTTTAAAATATGAGAGTGACAAGTTTTTGTTTTGCAAGAACTGTCATATGCCTCTTTGAACACAATCCTTGCCATCTTTTGATTTTAAATTTTTATTTTGATATGTGCCGATTCTTATGACCTTTTCTCCAGAATTTCCTAGTTAGTATGCTGTGGAATTAAATTGAACTTGAATATTGTACAAATCTTTAAAATAATGCAAAATTAAAGAAATGAGTGGAAAGTGTATAATATTTGGGGTTTGATCACATCTTCAGGGTTTGATGTATCTAAACAAACCAACACCTTTGATTTGCATTGTTAGTAAGTATTTCTTATTAAAATTCATATTAATCTGTTTTTGAATAATGTACAGCCCCAAAAAGAAAGTGAACTTGATGTGTGGTAAATTTAGATACCTTATGTCCAGGTATGTTTATGACTAATGTATTGTATGTACTACATACAGCCATATATGTTTTGCCTGCAAGCTTTTGTAAGTGTTCAAGATGGCATTTTCAAATTTCTTGAGTTTGATTGATTAATGCGAACACTTGCAGTAAATGAACAAGTTTTAAGAAGGCATGTTAAGCAAGTATTAAGCCATGAAAGTGTTTATTATACTGTAATACCATAATTATCCAAATATGAGTTTAGCAGTTTCAGTACAATTCCAGCTTTAGGTTTCACAGAAATACCACTGGGATATTTCTGAGATATCAATCATAATTAAAGTAAATGCTATGGCATGTTAAAGAAGTCCACACGTAGCAATCCAACACAAGGCAGATGAACCAGTGTCGTGCTCCTCATCACAATGAATGATCATTGATTCCAATAATAGCGGTACAGTTTTCTTAATGATGAGAGGCTACTGAAGCCTATGGCAGCCTATGGTCCAGTTTGAAACACTATGGAGTTATTTTCCATCTACAGAAGTTTTAAAAAGGGGGCACATGTGTTGTAAGAATAAAAAGCAAGAGACACATTTTGCTGATCCTCAAGCTTTGACTGCAGATAGCAAAGATCAATTACAAGAGCACATTTCACGATTGTGTAAAACATGACAAAATGCAACACAAATACGTTTTGTGAAAGCAATGAATACTCAATCAGAAACAAAAACTAACACACTATATATATCAGTAATATACCATTACTGGGACCACCTTCACCCATATTGGAGAGGGGAACGGAGAAAAAGAGGTCAGATGGATAAAGTGGAAACCGAATAATAGGCCAGATGTCAAATCCTGCCACATCAATTAATAAGTATGAGCTAAACAACTCATAGGTGCAATCTTCTGACCAGCACTTTGCTACCACTGTCAGGCCCGGACCTTAATATCACTAGGAAAATGAACATCAAAGGAAAACTGTAATAAACCAAGATGCATGAGGAGAGATGATGAAGAGCCCACATGAATATGGACATCGGCAGTCATCAGTAGGGCCTCTAACCAATCTTGTATTACTACAAGAAGCCACAAATACAGTGGGTGTGGACATTTGTTTAGGATTCAGGAAATTGCTGTTCCGCAGAGTAGATGCACCGCAAGAGGAAGCGGATGGAAAGTGAAGGGTCCCTCAGAGGATGTAGCAGGACAACACAGAACAGAGAGAGAATAAAGTAGCAATGTTACATCCTGCAGCAAGCAACCAAAAAAGCCTAGGATAAAAACGTACATTTCCCCTGGGTGCTGTTGGGTAGAACATCGTGTCAAGAAAATAATTATTTACTGTGTTTAACAAGCAGATCCTTTTTTATATAATTTTAAACAATATGAAAGTTCCTATTAAAAGGAGATCTACATCTCACCTTGAAGCACATCATTGTTGTAGTGTTCTCTTTGCACATCGCCTTTCTGACTAATTAGACACCAAACAGTGTTTTAACCTGAGCTGACAGCAGGTATGACCATCTAGGTTTTGCATAATGAGAAAAGGGAATTAATTTCAATCACCTTATTATTTTTATATATGTAAATATTACTAAGTGTAAAATATTTTTTTTTCTGTTCAGTGAGAGAAGAAGAACTGAGGAGAAAAATATCTGAAGATCTTGAAAATGAACGAAATAAGAGAGATTCAAAACTGCAAAAACAGTGAGTAAATTCAGATAACAGTATTACTGTTACCTTATTGGCTTGATGGGTATATTTTATTTTTAAAGTATATGTGTTTTTGTGTGCTTCTCAATCATTCATAAGGACCAGTTATTCACAATGTTCAATTAACAGTGGTAATCTAGTTTACTTGGTTATTGTTTACAATGTTATAACCACAACGTTTAAAAATGTGAAAGTATTTGATAAATTAGTAGCTGCAATTGTATGGTCTTGGAGATGGATCACATTTCGGTTAGGTAGTGAAGGCAGCAGAGGCAGCAGGTTGGAAAGCAGCATTAGGGCAGATGTGGTTCATAAAATGGTACAGGTGTTACAGAGCAAGATTGCTCATACACTTATACTGCAGGATACCATTTTCATGTTCCGTTACAATCACTAAGATATCTATGCCCTTATCCAAACCTATATTTGAACAGCAGGTACTGTGGAAAAAATGATGAAGGGGAACCAAAGTGGTTCTTATCAAGGTTCCCTGAATTATGATGATAATCTTGTCATTTTTGTCCTTGATGGAAAGGATACTGTGAACTATCCAACCATGTCAAACACTAATACCACTGCATTGTTGTGTACTAAGTTCCAGAAAATACATAGCAACACTCACATAATCTTAACACCGTGATCTTAGTTCTGGTTAGAGTTATTACTCTACAGATATGTATTTTTACAAAAGTTCAGTGTTGTGTCGCATTAGTCCCAGGAAGAACTTGTGATTAGTCAGGATCACGTAGTAAGAGGAACAAAGCACTTCAAGCACTGAAGTAATGGTTACATTGACCTGGGATTTTAAAAAGAGACTGGTGCACTGAAACTGTAGTAATGAAGAAAAGTTAACTTGACCTCAGTCGTGTCGTAGGGCATCACATTCTTTGTAACATGCATTTTTTGCTCACAGCAAGGATTTTTTTGTACTGTATATACAGTGCTTGTAGAAGATCTATACACCCTTTTCAAAGTAACACACATTGTGGCCCAACAGTCTGACATCAAGACGCATTAAATCTAGATTTATTTTACCGTTATATTCACATCCTAACACACAACCTCCAAGTCAAAAACAAATGCTCAGATATTGTGACAAGTAATTACAAATGAAAACCTCGAAAAATAGGTCGGATAATTGTACACACCTCTGAGTTTGTTTGTGGTGGAAGCACCTTGTATGACTCTTCTTTTTTAGTTTAAATTACCTGATTGTTAGAGTAAAGTATTTGTGTACATCCCTATATCCTCATTACCTGTAAAGGTTAAATCTTTATGCCTATTGTCTACAGTTGCAAACTCAGCTTAAAACCAGTCACAAAAGGTTATATCTCAACACAGTATTACAATGAACCCAAAAGCATTTTTGACAAATAAATTATTTTTAAAACCCCCACCCCATTTTGAACCAATGATTGATTGTCTTATTGCTTAGTGTTCAATAAAATATTATTTTTATCCACAAATTTGTGCTTGAAGAAGGACCATCTGGATTATTTTGAGGGAGTTAGGAAAGCTTTTCACTTGACATCACAGCCATTGAGGGTTTCACTTTGTAATCCCTCAAGAGTTTGCAGGCGACAATATTCACTAGCTCCACAGACTGTTTGAGTTACATTTCAGTTCTGCAATTTCACAATTTAGCATAGAGTAGGCTTTTTTTGTGATTGCAGGCTTATTCTTGCCAGAAATTAAATGACACCTCCAGACAAATATTTTTTCAACAGACTGGCAATGTGCGGTGTGTTGTGTAAACGTAGCGAAGTGTTTAAAATCATTATATCTATCCCTTCATTTTCATTAACTGCTTAAAACTAAGTGAACGTGGTGATTTGGACCTAACTCAACAGGTCTGGAGTGCAAGGCAGGGCTTTGATCCTGGACAGAGCACCTCAGGCATGCACATTCACATGTGTTTGCTTACACACCTGAGTATATAAGTTTAGAGATGCTAGTTACCCTGAGCAACATACCTGGAAAAAGTTCATACTGATTAGAAAATGATTGTAAAATTAAAAGTCAGTGAATAGGCTGCTGTTACTTAAATTGAGATCATTAATTTGTGGTTTAAAGGATTAGGGGCCAAGTATTGGGATACAGGAAAACTACTGAGCTTTCTGATCAGTTACTGTTTCTCAGCTTTTGTTCACTGGTGTAAAACAGTGTGATAAGCTGGCAGCACAAACAAACTGTGGCACAAAACAGCAGAGAATATTAGAATGCTTACAGTAGGTGTCTGGAGTACTTTGACATGTGTTGTAACTTTTAATTTAATTTACAGTACATTACATTACAGGCCTTTAAACTTTAGCGCAAATTACTCTCATTACCAGGGAAGCTTTTTTGTAACCCCTGCAAAGAAGAATGAATATTATTATTATTGTTCAAGAAGAAATGTTACATTTTAAAATGATTTTAATGCCAGCTGCTATGCCTGGTTCTTGGTATTTAGCTGTTTCTTAATTTACAGATCGCCACCTTTAGTATTAATGTCTTTTGATTTTAAAATGTTCGTGCTGTGAATGTCATATTGTATATGCTAAAAATTACTGAAGCAAGGCTGTTAAAACATTTATCATGTTTACTCAAATGCAGGTATCGGTGCATTTTAAATGTGCACCTAAATGTGTAGCTTACATAATTTTGTAGGTGGGAAACAAGATGTCACACATCTAGTGTATTGCATTTTTGGGAAAGAAGTTTTTCCTGCGCAGATAAGATTTTTTGTGTGCTTTATATATACATAGCATCAAAGTTTGTTAGAGAAGAGAGAATGTGCAATCACATTTTGTGTTTTTTCAAGTTGTGAAGAATTTTTATCCATACCTGAGAGTTACAACTAAGAGAGAACTAATTAGGACAGGAAAAGTAAGTACACTTGTATTCACTCAAAATACCAATGAAAACTATTCATTTTAAGTAAAGAAATCAACCTTTATGCTAGAGCAGCATAACCCTGCTTTATTTTCTATGTGAGCTATTAAGTAGCTGTACCTCATAAATTAGAGTGAACAATATAACCAAAAAATGCAGTGACGGAGTGAGTTGTTGAAAAATGTGTATTGCCCAGCAAATGCCTGCTATTTAATGTTCAGTTAGTCTGAAATGAAGTAGGACCTGCCATCTTGTTCGTTTTAAAACCCTCTACAATGATTCATTTTTAAATTTGAACATGATGAACGACAGTGATTCAGAAATGACCCATTTTGAATTTTCATAGCGCAGCATAAAGTGGGCAGTGTTTAATGTTAGTTGTTGTAAATAACATTACAACAATAAACATTTTGTTTGTACAACTCTAAGTGCTAACTGCATGAATAATGTTCATTTGGCTTCCCTTGTCCTTAATGATTTCCCTGTGAACAGTCATCAGTAGAATATTCTTTGGAGATTTATTTCTTGCCTAATTTTATGTCCCATTGAGCACTTATTCACACCCTTTCATCCTTCAAAAGAGTCTATCAAATCTTATTTTTTCTTTGATAGCATTACTGGCATTTACTTGTTCTAGCAGTTAAAATTTACATTACATTTAAATCTCAGAGTGGTGCCTTCTTAAGTTTTTGTGTTCAAGAAATGTATTTAATGGTCCATGGAGTCTGGGGAAGGAAAAATAACACGATACATCACTAACTTGAGAACATCTGCAAGAAGAAATGATTCAACAATGACCATCAGCAGTAATAGTGGGGAACGCGCATCACTGAATCCTACAAAATTAAAGATAATTGAGACTTAGCACATCTTACTTATCTTGGTACACGTCTTAGAGAGCATACAGAACCGCCATGTGGCCCTGCCTCAAAGAGGATAGTCTCAAAAAGGTTCAGTGATTCATCAACAAAGCAAGCTACAATAAACTGAGCACCAACTGCTAAGAATCTATTTATGCAAATAGCTAACTCATTTTTTTCCAGGCATAGATACATTTGTGACTGTAGAATATTTTAACTTTTTTCATTGAGTAACACTGGACTTTACTGTAAATTAACAGGTATTATTTGTCAATAAATGGGTGAGCTTAGTAGTTCGTTATTCATTTTGTTTAAGGGAAGTTTATGAAAGGAGACTGGCAGTGTAATCTGATCCTTCATCCAGATCATGATCCTAGTCATTATCTGCTGTTCATTTAACACTTCAACCCCCTCTAGTGGAATAAAAGAGTTTAAATTTGACTGCACTGAGAGAGAATGCTTTTGTTTCAGCTCTGCTATGAAGTCCACACTTTACTTAATTGGAAAAAAAAGTGTTACATCTATGAAGAAAAACTAAATTTAAAAAATATTTTGATTTGAACCATTTCCAGTATAAGGATTTAGATGATTTTTTATCTTGTACAACCTGAACTGGGATGAAGTATTGCTGTGGAATTAACTGATTAATGTTAGTGACCTCGGCAGCACTAATACCAGGCCAAAGTAAAGATTCTGACATCTGACGTTTTTACCTTTTGAATCAACATATGATGTTGACGATGAATACTTGGAGTTGTTCTTCTTCAAACTCTAGAGCCGTAAAACCACAAAAATTATGTATGGTAATCAGTGCTGAGCACTGTTTAGTGGACTCAAATTCCACACTTTTTGCTCTATATCCAAACATTATTTTCGCATTTTTGTTATTTTGACACTTTATTTTAATTATTAGAAGAATCTACATAAACAAGGCCACCTCTGAAACTGGCATGCTTATGTTTGTTAATTAAGTAACTACTGATGGCAGAAGCAAGTAATTCTGATGTTCACAGAAAAACACCTATTTAGAAGAAATGTATTCTGTATATATTGGGTTGTGTTCAGTGTGCCGCATGACATTGACCCAACGCATGCAGCTAATGCAAATAAAGGAGTGCATCAAGTGAAAAATGTTGAAAGTAGCCAAATCATTTTCCAGTTTTAAATCCAATTGAACATGCATTTTATATGAAATGTAAAAAAACACCACATATAGGCAAGATTTCAAAATTGCGGCAGCAGGCAATTAAAATGATTACA